GCACAAGTTGCTTTGGATAAAAATGTCAGCTAAATGACTAATTAGTATTAGCTACAACATGATCCATGAAAGTTGGTACAATATCAGCAGTTGTTGTAACTATTCTCAGACGAAATGGATTGGATAATTGTGATGAGAAAATTTGAAAAATAACAGATTCATAAGGTCAATAAATTTGGTTTGTTGTCCTGCCCCAGTTTACCATACAAGGTAGTCATAAACCATGCTTTGGGGCACTAGTAAGAGTAAAAAAGTGTAGTTCATAATACTTACATATTCAAATCTGTCTTTACAGAGCTGCACCATGAGATGAAGAAAGACCAGGGCAGAGAACCACAAACACCACATGACCACCTCATCCACGGTCTGCACGTTCAATACACCGAAGATGAAAATGAACTTGTAGAAGATGAAGTTCCAGAATTTATCTTTCAGGTGCTGAGAAATCAACACAGAACAAATGAGATGCATTTTACTAAAAAAGCTTAATAACAACAACAGGTATGTAAGTAGCTCTATTTGTCATTTTAACGCTGTTAAAAGACAGACTCACCTGCTTCTCACTGACTCTAAGCGGACCAAACACCACATACTGAATCATTTTTGCAATTAACATCAAGGAGCAGCAGAAGGTGTTGACTAAGACCTAGGACAGAGAATAAAGTGTCAATTTTCTGTAAGAACAACATAATCTTATCAAGCAATGCAAAGTCTTAAACGGGATGACACTCACCCATACAAAGAGACTGTCAGCGACCAGATACCGCAAGACACGGGTCGCCAGTTCTGTGTTACTATCATTTAGATGTTCGAGATCCGTTTCAGAGGGAGCTGGTGTTTCATCGGTTTCCAAGGCCGCAAACCCCGGGTCAATCACAGTGGTGTAGGCACTAAAGATGCTGCCAGCAAGCAAAGCCACACTCAGTGCTGTATAGGTCTGCAGGCTGGGCCAAGGAAACCTCTCCAAAAACAGAAGAGGCATTGCAGTGTTCACGGTCCACTTCTCAACTTGTGAAAACGGTGTTTGCCCCGATCCAAGAACTGGAACAACCTGTGGGCAGAAGTGAGTTAAGTTAGCTAACGCTGGCCAAACTTTAACGTTACTAAGCTGACGTTAAACGTAAATTAGTATTCGTTTTTCAACATGCATAGTAACCAAAGCGTCAGCATACGATCGTTAATGTTTTATATGGTTTAGTCATTTCCATGAAGTTAGAAGACGTTAGTCTTAGATGTTAGCTACTTGGCTCTCAACGGGTTCTCAAGCAAAGGCTAATTTCACGTTAGATCAATACAGTTGGTAAAGGCGCAAACTACTCCCGAATTGGCCTGTCTTTGGTGAAGTGTAACGATAAAAGATTCAATCAGCTAAATAAAGTGAAACCCGTTGACAAGCGCTTCAGAATGGCCAACATAAGAGTTCACGCCCCTAACGTTAGCTGTTTACCTGGCTAACGTTACCTAATACTAGCTTACTTGTTAGCGACTGTTATTAGCTACGCAGCCACTGTGAGCGAACACACATCGAGTTTGTATTACATCGTCACTTACAGTTTGTCACAAATTTAGTTAACCACAAAAAAGATGTCCTGTTGTTGTATTTACTGCTGTACTTTTAGTGCAGCTGCACTGAGAACACCGTAGTTGACAACATCGTCATGTTTCTTTCACCGAGTAGGCAGCAGGCTGAGGGAAGTCGTCGTCTTCTTCTTCTTCTTCTTCTTGTTTCCGGCAGACTAGACGCGTCGATGGCGTATTGCTGCCCTCCTCTGTTCGTTATACACATTTTAATTGTGATTGCCTAAATACTTTTGTATAATCCCGTTTTATGTAGATACTGAATCAGTTTCTTCATTTTGTTACAACTATCCAAATTAAGTAGAGTGGGTAGACTAAAAATAGTTTATCCAATTGCGCCCAGTTCTCTAAACAATTTCCTCCTTTGACAAGAGTACTTTCCACAATGAACTAATACATGCTTTACTGATTCCTTGTCTCCACATTCACCTTTTCCATCAGGATGGTTACGAATCAGAGCCAGCCCACTCCTCAGCCCACAGTGCCCAAACCTCAATCTGGATATAACTACTGCATCTCTTCTCTTACATCTAAAAGCACATTTTCCTTTCTCTACACTTCGTTGTACTGAGTAATATATCCTCCCCTTCCTTTCATTTTCCCGTGATTTTTGCCACATTTCTTTTACTGACCTATTTATTATTTCTATGTAATCCGGTGACCCATACTGTTTGCCACCCCATCTGCCTCCTCATTACCCTCCACACCCATATGCGCCGGAATCCACAGAAACACCTCATACCCTGCTTTGTGAATTCTACACAACACCTGCATAATTTCCACAAGTAAATCAGGTCTGGACTTCGTTTTAGTATCTTTAATTAGGGTTCATACCGCGTAGCGGTATGTTTGTGTGTTTTAGTTATAATTATTATTTGTTGTCTGCCGCGCCGGCTCAAATTCCCGTGAGCTGGAATGAGCTAGAAACATGAAACTTGGGGGAATAACTGGAAATGTTGTGCATCAGCTTCCATAGAAATATGAACCCAATCGGCCACATGGTGGCGCTATAATTAAGGCTTAAAAATGCAAACTTACACCGTAAGTCCAATTGACTTGGAATTTCTCACACAGGTGCAGCTCAATGTGCTCTCCAAAAAAGCCTCAAGGACTATTAGAGTCCGCCTAGAGTCTTTTTCCGCCATTTTCAATTTTTTGAAAATCACATTTTTTACATCTCCTATATTAATGCTCCGTGATGTCAGTGCACTCCTACAAATAAAGGCTGTAGTTGTTTTTTAAGGAAAAGGTCAACTAGCTTATTTGAAGAACTATTGCCCAACATATGTCCACATGAGTGCCGGAAATATTCCTTGAAAGTTTCATTCAAATTGACCATTAGTTGGCGCTTTAAATGCATCGTAACTGGGCATGGAATGATACAAATCAAGCTATAGATCAGAAAATGGTTGTTCAGTTGTTACAAAACTTACAGGATATGTTTTATAACAATGTTGAACCGTATGTGTGAAATTATTTTGATGGTGATATTGGGGGGGGGGGGGGGGGGGGGGGGTGCGAATATTTGTAATTAGAGTTGCTGCTGAGTCACTACATATGACTGAATGCTACTGTTTGTTATCTCCAACCCACCTTAATGCCCATAGAACTGCCACCAGCTCTGCTGTGAAGACTGACATGTGAGCTGGAATCCTACACCCTTTTTTATAGCGTGTTTCTGGTATGCTAACACCAAAAGCCACTTTACCACTCTCAGGATCCTTTGACCCATCAGTATACATTTGTAAGTGTTCTCCCCATAATTGACATATCCAAACTTTTATCTCCTTCACTACATCCTCTGACATATTCCTTTTGCTTGTTTTCATAAAATATAAGTCAACAATGGGATCTCGGATCAACCATGAAGGTACATCTGAACGACATATTGGTGGACATACATTCAAATTCACAATACCAATTTTATTTGCCATAGATTTGAGTTTTTCTGTAAAATTTGTTTTGATCCTTCTTGCTGTTCCCATAAACTTCCAATGCTGACTCAACAGGCTTTTTGTTAGTAGTGTTTCATTCTGTCCTTTTAGTTTCATTAAATACTTATTAGGTCTTTTTATTTCTAATGGCATCTCCCCTGTTTCTATTAATAGTGCGGGGATTGGAGTTGTACGGAAACGCCCTCTACACACTCTAAGGGCTTTTGCTTGGACTCTATCAAGTTGACTCTGTATATCATCGTCATAGATTCATTATCAGCCCCCTGGCTTCTTCCTCTCCTTCTTCTCTGAGGTTTAACGGCATATCTCGTATACTCAGTGTTGCGTTACTGCCATATTCTGGAGCTCGGTTTGTCAGATTTTTTCCCCCATCAGTACTGTTCTCCTTGACAACATCCTCTGCCTTGTCCACCTCCTCCATGTTCCTGGCCCTTTGCCTTTTATTTCTTTCATCATGTCCAATTAACAAGTAAATGTTCTACAGTTGATACCCGACAATGTTACAAAGACTGGTTCAATGTTTCCCTATCAGATTTTCCTATCCTATTCTTAATACAGTCATGATTACCTCCTCTAACTACTAGCCCACTTTATTTTAAATTGAATGTAAATGCATTCCCCTTATCTCCTGATCCCAGTGCTTATCTGTTGCCACTAGGTTATTTATTGATTTTCTTCCATGCAATGCCCTGTTTTTTTACTCTTGAATGTAGGCCTATTGACATTATTTCACAAAGTAAGTTTTGGGATTTGGTCTTCTTGGTTTATTTTTGTTGCAACAAAAAGAACAACCTGAAACGAACGTCACCTCACCAAATCAGCAAGGGCGCAGGACTGCAGAGGAAAGCGGGACTGACAATATAGGGTTCAAACAGAATACACAGACACAGGTCTACATAGATATGAACAATTTTGACATCCTGATGATAAAAGAATCACAGGACCTACTGTGACCACAGTCTCTCCACTGATGGTATCTTTTCCTCTTGCATTTACAGTTATGGGGCCAAAATAACCATGTAATGTAGCTGTAGCCCAACAATAAATATAATTTTTGAATATTTCAATGATATTTCATTTCTTTTTGCTGAGACTTGTGAACGAGATGTTGATAATTATTTGTTATGTATTTATTTTGATTTCCAAGTGCTGCACTTAATGTGTTTTGCAGGCACAATCTCAACATAACAACCTAAATGTTGCAGTGGCAGCCCGGCTGATGGTGAGTGCCCTGTTTTTCTTATCCTCCTTCGCATCCTGGTTTCTCCTGTGTCTCCTCCTCTCTCCCTCTGTGTGTGCTCTCCCCCTCTCCGCTCCGGAGCCCGGCTGACTACCCACACCTGCGTCTCATCAACCTCCATCTCCGACCGCCACACCTGCCAGCTATCAGCCTCATCTCGACCGGTATTTCTACCCCGGCTCTCCTCTCCATCCCCGCTTGATCGTTGTCGCTCCAGACTTGGTGCTACAGCTACATTCAAGCTTTTTTATGAACTTGTTCACGTTTAACTTCTTCGTCTCCTGTCACCCTGAACTAACCCTGTCTGTTTCCCCCACCAGGTCCACTCACATCTGCCTCCCCGTTCGGCCAGCCGGACTCGCCTACCTGCCTTCCCCTCTCACATCGCCTCCACGGCGCCCCTCGGTTCCCCCCTTGCTCCTCGCCGGACCGCCAGCCACCACATCCTTCCCAGATAGCAGCTGACTCTGGGCCGGATCCGCCTCCAAACCGGCAGATCCGTGTAACAGTCACGCCCGTTTTACTGCCGCATGTAGTCTGTGTGCACTCAGGAGTGGGCGTGAGCATCCATCAGTCGGCGGAATCATAATAGTTCTGGCCCGGACTGTTTCTTTGGATCAGTTCGGAATGAGTTTATAACGGTAAGTTCAACGATGTTAGTCAAACAGTTTAGTGAGATTGTTTTTAATAGCGGTGTAACGCTTGTTAACATCACATCGGAATGTTTTGACCGGGTTTTAACTTCTTAAAATAGCTAAAACTGTTGAGGCATTGGCTAACGTTAGCTTTTTAGCTGGGTTAGCTAAATTAACTGAGTGAACGGATAGCTAAGCTAGCTAGCATTAATAAACAACTTTATGTGCAGCTAGCACAAAACATTAATGATGTTTAACGTTAGTTAACTTACAACGATGTTGTAACGTTAGTTTCCAACAGCACTAACTGACAGCACCTGTCTCCTTTTTAGGTTCAATCTCTTCTCCACCCCTGACTGAGAGCCCGGGATTATAGGGTAAGTTAAGTATTTTTGGCTTTGATTTTCAAATCTTGGCTATATTTAAGCATAACGTTATAAAGTTATGATAGGTAATTTAAGTGTTTAAAAAAAATCAAAGCCATCTAAAGAAGTTGGAATTTTCATCTGACATTAATGAGAACGTAAATTCATTATGACAAATAAGGTCTATGGGCGGGAAATCGCATCTCTCCGTGTCTTTTCATTGACTTTGTATGAAATCACAGCGCGGTTGAGGAGCAGTTCCTGATTCATTCTGGATATTTATTTGGGGCGTTTTCGGAGGGATATAGTGTGCTATGTTAAGCTTACAAAGTGTTTACCCTCAGATTTTTCAGGAGCTGTAAGAAATGTTTTGTCTAGAGGCTGATGGTTCTCAGTAATTAAATTGTAAAGTTAAAAATTACAATGTGAGATTTAAGGCTGATCAATACAATCAGATGTGATTTGATAATTGTTCAGTTCATAATTAGTATGTTTTTTTTAATTGTTCATGAGTGAAATTCTACTTGTTTTGAGTTACTAAAGTAAATGCTATAGAAAATTGGTCTACTGCTACACCAACAATAGTAAACATGGTGCATTGAGTACTTTTTTTTTTCAACCCTCTAAAGCATTTCTCAAAAGTTGGTTATTAGCTTGGCTTACAGGTAATTTTCAAAATGTCAATGACCGCTCATCAACCAATTGACTTTCTCTCTTAACAGAGGCTGTACGGAAGAACCAAGCTGCTAGCAGCACATCGGACAACGAAACTAACCAGCACGCCATCCGCTGGTTCAACCTGGCCTCTGACCGTGGAGGTGGCTGCAAAGAACGTGCCATGGCCAGAGAGGCATTAACCATGGTAAATCTGTATTTACCCTCTTTTTGAAACCCTCCATTTTAGCACCTGTCTCGTTAAAGCCCCCATCCTGAAAGCCCAGTCTGCTGATTGGCTTGCAAGAAAAATATGCCACTGCTTTGCAAAGATGGTACTTAACCTTGAGTGGGGATACTCGGATGGGGAGGCGGCGGTGGTTTAATAAAGTTGTATCTTATATTCTAATAAGCCTGCATGTGACATAGGAAGGAGAAACAAATCTGAATGGCTTGTTGAAGCACATGTTTTGTGATCTAGGCAACCCACAAATCTGTCTGGGTTGTCTTATTTCAGTTTGATACCCAAAAGGGGAGTTTTTCATGATGTGTCCCCTCTAGGGCTGGACATCTAATTGAAGTAATTGAAACCCAAATTCTGAGCACTAACGGCTGTAATTTTACAATTTCAGTTATTTAGTTTTATTTCCTGTTAAAATGTCCCCCTGTGTGTTTATGTACTTTCCCCTTAAACTGTAGTCAGTGACTCAGCCCTGTCCTGCTCAGCTCCCAGAGGCTGGAGCACAGGGAGATGTTAGCTAGTGCTAACTGCCTTCATTTTCCAGCAGCATTTATTTATGAACACACTTTGACCCACACTGATCATTTACTGCCACACTTACAACAACCTCACTCACTTTCAGCTGCTCACTCTCACATTTGGTCACGCGCACACAACACTGTTACATGAGATTAATGCACATTGATATTAATTGATCTGTGAAATATTAGTAGCAGCACTCATTCAGTGAGCAGTGGCGATATGCCAAATTTAGGGGAGTACGTCTGTTGTGTGCACTTAAACATTATCTTATCAGTTAACATTTACTTGTTTTTTGACATTTGAGTCTAAAAAACCACCCCACCTACAATAGTTGAGCATGTTTGCAGTACAAGCCTGGTCAGTGAACTAGGAGGGCAAAAAACTGAAATAATCATTCATTAGCTGTAAAATGTTCACTTATTGGGATTTTGATTTTAGGTCAAATCTTCCAGCCCTAGTCTAGTCCAGCCACCTTTAAAATGACTAATCTCTGTGGATTTTATGTAATTTGTGATTGCCATCATCAGTTGAGTAATCACCCATTCTTTTATCCTTCGCAGAAATGAACACATCAGCCATCCCCCACTCTTCCACTACTGATTTGTTGGGTGTCATGTGAGGGTTATGGCATTCCCACTTGCCTCATCAATGTTTCCCGTAAAGCCACCAAACAATGTGTATGAACATTTTACCTTTTTTCAGGGTTTCACATGACTAGTTGGAGTTGGATATTGTATTTTGGCTATAAAATCTTTGTTATTTATACCAGGGTCATGGAAAATGGTTAAAATCTAAATGGCTAGCAGTAATCAAGACAAACTTATTGCTTGTCGCTAATTAAAACATTTTTGTGTGTTTAGGCCATAGAATCTCGTGTATCTCCTGGCTTTAGCTTTGTTTCTCAGGGAGAAAAATCTTACTTTCTTACCATCATTAATGGTACACTATGCAAGACTGATGTCAATGTATTGAGCTTTTTAATAATAGCAACAGTGTGGCTTAGTGAGTTTAATACTTCTGCATTCATTTAAAAATAACACCTGTGTCATAGGGGTGTGGTTACTGTACAGTTACTAGAAACTAATTGTCACCTGCAAGTCAACTGGAGTAAAGTTTCTTGTTCCTACAGTTGTTAAAGACATGAGCTGTAAAATGTGTGTTTAGCAATTATCTACTTTGTTTTAAGTTTCTGTCCTCTTTATCTCAAACATTTCAAATAAATGTAAGTGTCACTCATCCATTCTATCACTTTCTTTGTTGAAATTCTGTGTAGGACAAATAGAAACAGTCTTTGTAACAAAGTGTAACAGTTTTTACTGTCCATGCTGTTTAAAATGCAAGGAAAAAGAAAACGAAAGTAAAACAAGAAATCCTAGTGTACCTTAGTGATATACAAGTCACTATTTGTTATACATATAGACCAGCATGGAACTGGCCCACATTTGGGCCAAATGACTACATAATGTCGTCCGTTCTGCAGCTGGAACAGTGCCGGCCCAGATGTGAAAACCAGATCTGCGCCGGCATTGGCCCGTTGTGCTAAAGGACACCGTCCTGGGTCCGTTTTACAGATCTGGCCCAGAACTTATGAAGGATCTGGGCCGCATGATTTTTGCTATCTGGGTTCCCCCCTCAGCCCTCTCGCCTGAACCTCTCCTGCTCCGCAAGCTCCTCGGTCCCCCTTTTTCCCCCCTCAGTAAACCTCTTTAGAAACCTGAAGTGTTGCGTTTGGGTCCGTTCTGTCCATAATCATCACACTAAAGCTGTCTCTTTAGTTTTGATGAACGATGTCATCAATGCCCATTGTTGTGATTACATATACAGTGTGTAGTCCCAACACTTGCAGTCTTGTCTATAACAAGATTATTAGATCAAAGGGAGACGTTGCACTGGTCTTCAAATCGGAATCCTATCAATGGAAAGAGCCTACTGGAAAATGAACAATACTTCAAACAGCAACTCTTAACAACATATCGGAGTGATTCTCATGAGACCACCTAAAGACCTGTCCGAAATGGATTATTGCACATTTTCACATAGAAGATGAAATAACAAATTTTAATGTTAAAGTACACAATTTTTACTTCAATGTTCACTTGTGTTCAAATATTAGTTTTAAAAAGTATTTGTTTTATTAAAAACTTCATTACCGTAACGTGTCCGAGCAAAAATTTAGCATTTTGCTCTCTTACAGCACAATAAATAATATAGCAAATATATTAAAAAACATTTAAAAATAGTCTCTATTAAATTAATTTCCAATAGCAATTTTGATACATTTCTAAAACATTATTTCCATATATGGCTAAAACACTGTCTGTATACATTTATTTCATTACCGTAACACATTTTCACATCTCTCAAAACGACGAATATATTTATAAAGTTTTATTGAAAGGCAAAGTTCCACAGAACACAGAAGATTCAAGATGGCTACAAGGCAAGATTATCTGTTAACATTTGATAGCTATATATACATATTAATTTTGAACATAACAATAGAAAGGATAGTGTGGGACTGTAGTGATGGGAGTATTATTTTTTGCTAAGTCATTGTGTTTCCCGCCATTTTATGCTAGCTAAGCTAAAGTGCATTCATTACCGTAACACCAATCTTTCATTACCGTGCCATTTGTTGCCTGTTACGGTAATGAATTATGATGTTACGGTGATTAATATCAGAATAGTTTTCTATTGCTTGTTAGATATTTTTGTTTTAGATCAGAAGGGCTGAGCAATAAAACAATATTAATTATAATTATTGCAAAATGACTTCCCTCAATAACAATATAACAAATGTTTAATATATTGTCAATAAATGTTTGATTGGACTACTAATGTTGGGACTTTTGAACTAGCAACTCACTGTTCCAAGTGCAAAACATTATTTAAAAAAAAACAAAAAATAATGTGCATTAGAAACTAGGGGTGGGAATCTCTGGGCACCTCATGATTCATTTCAATTACGATTCAGAGGGCTGAAATGTGATTATAAAATGATTATCGATGCATCTTTTTTTCCCTATACATACAGGATCTCTAGAAAATTCTTAAGCATTTAATTTGCGCATTAAAATCCAAAAGAAACATCTCCTAATTAGCTTAAAAGGAATAGTTTGCGTCCCTAATTTACTTCATTAACCTCAGCTCCATGATCCCTCATTTCTTTAACAACCAGTTGTCAGACTCCTCTGAAAACTGAAATATAATTATCAGGATGTTCAGTCTGTGTACAGGACAGAGCTGTACACCAGTTTAGTCTACGCTTGTACCTGATGTTCTCAACCCTTGACAAGTCATTTAGTCATGACATAAAGCTGAGCTAATTAATATTACTTAGTTACTAATTTAGCTAACGTTACATAACAGCCAAAAACGTGCTGCCCAGGGGAGATGTTAGCTAGCGCTAACTGCCATCACTTTTCCAGCAGTTGGGGAAACTACAGCCTTTTTTAACTGGCACACTGTGAACTTCATTGCACATTTACTGCCAGACTGAAACTTACTGCAAGTATTTTTCTCCGCTAACTTTCCCCGTCATGTTATGCCGCTCGCTCTCTCTCATTTGCTTGGGCTCACAAACAGGATATAGGAGAGCTTGCTTGCACCATTGACCAATTAAGGATTGTAGTAATGTGACGAGTGTGTGTATGTAATTTCTCTAATCTTAATTAAGCGGCAACCTCCTGGTCTGAAAAGTGAAGCCATGCAAAAGTAACCTAAACCTGCATTCTTTGTAATGGCCAGTAGGAGCATCTCCGCTGGTTGCTAAAAGAAGTACGGTTGTAATAACGGTAAAATTACCCTACTTCTGACTTTACTTTCTACCTCAGTAAACACTTTCCTAATGAGTTTGTGGTACATTTGCACCTCCCGTCCAGACTAAATGGCCAATCTGAGCACCTGCGAGCAAGCTGCGAACCCATTTTTGTTCCAGCTTAGCGTATTAGTGCTGAAAGGTGATAAAAAAATACATTGAAAACGATGACACAGACTCTCACATTAGGCTTTCTGATTGGGTATTATCAGTCATGCAAAGCAAAAACAGGATGCTACTGAAAGTTTTGGTGTTTTTATTAAAGTATCCTGTAATGTGCAAATAAAACTTAGGCTATATACTTGTACTGTATATGTTGCCGTATTTGCTCTGCGAGACTCCCAGTCTATTTTCCGCCGCCAGAATCACTTTGGACTCCCTGTTACTTTCAGTAATAGTTCCACCTTGTTGTAGGCCCATGCAAAACTGCGAATACTCATACTGCACAACTGCGGAGTACACAATCTGCTTTCTGTTTACACTAATGTTTGATGTTAAATTCTTTTCACTATCGGCATAGTGTAGGGCTGGGCAATAAAACAATGATAATTGTCGCAATATGATTTTCCTCAATAACAATATAATAAATGTTCAATATATTGTCAATAAATATTTGGTTTAATTAATTTGAACCACAAAGAAATTAGCACCTCAGTAATCATATTTGTTGAAAAAGATTTTGTCACAATAGTTTTGCATGTTCTGCCTCAGATTTGTTAAGTGATCCATGTTTGTCACATACTGAACGTAAAGAAACATTTCACCACATAAATAACAATCTGGTTTCTTTTATTTTCACTCAGGGGCAAAAATCAGCCTTTAAACTTGAAAGAAATAATGATTTGACATTTATCGTGATAATTATCGATATCGAATGATATGAAATGTTTTTATCTTGATAGCATTTTTGGCCATATCGCCCAGCCCTAGCATAGTGTTATTGTTTATAATATTTGTGATATCTCTGAAGGTATCAAATACTAAGAGAGTGGTGTATTGAAGTAAGCCAAGACATGACACCCAAACAAAGAAAAAAAACAATAAAAGAAATGGAGAGGAAATTCTAACAGGTCTAATGCTAAAACAACAAAACATAATGGAATTCATTACCCAAACATGGTCTTTCATTACCGTAACTTAGTTTACATTACCAAAACACAAAATTATACTACAATGAAACAGAAAAAGTTATAGATGTGCTGGAAATATGTTTAATTCCCTATATATTGATTTGATCGTTTTCTAATATAATTCCCCCTAAACAAAATCAAAAATAATATCAATGTGACAAAACTGATGAGTGTTACGGTAATGACATAATTCTTTAAATTAAAAACATGTATTTTTAATTAAAATATATTTTTTAATGAAATTTCCTTACCTGTATACATGAGTAAAGATACCACCAAAATCTTCTGAATATATACAATATGACTTTATTATATTACAACTTTTAAAAATGTTACGGTAATGAAATAAAATCTGAAAGCGTGTTGTAAAAGGTTAAAATACATAAAAGTGTATTTCTAACAATAGTAACTTTGAATATTTGTTAACTTAAGTGAGTAAAATATTACCTTTTAACTGTAGATATTTTTTTAATGGTAGCACAGTTTCGTGAGAATCACCCATCTAATACATGTTTACTGTGAAAGTTAAACACAAGGACGAGGGGTTGTATAATAAATAAAATATTCCATCTGATGTTTTAGGTTTAGGAATAAATCTGACTGTCTCACTGAGACTGAAACAACAAGTGGTGGTAATAATTAACTATTCAAATGGTTGCAATCCATGCACTAGATGGAGTTGACTGAGAGTCCAAAGTTAAGGTGTGTGAGAGTGCTGTTACAAATGCAAAAGTTGTTGGGAGAGAATACTAGCTTTAGCTTTTCATCTGCTATCTCAGAAATATTGCAAATATATGAATCATGTAAAAACTAAGTAAGTTGCTTACCAAAGCACGGTCACAGAACAGAAAGAGAAAGTTATTTTGAATAACATTACATCAGCAGTCTAGAGGATCCTGACCTATGGTTCATGCATAAAATCCCATCAGTTACTCCCTGCAAGTCTGAGAAACAGTGGTTGCTGTTATCCAGAAAGGGAAGTGAAGACTTGCTTGTACAGCACTTTGTTTTTCTTTTCATGCAGACACAACTGTCAGCACATACACTTGCAGCATGAACCGTTCAACTGAGCTGTCTTCTTCAGAGGAAATGGCTCCTGAGAGTTTGACGGTGGGACAGCAGCAGCTTGTGTGATCCTCGGCCTGTCCTTCCTGATAGGAGCCCCGGGGAACCTGCTGGTGATCTGGACTATCCTGAGACATGTGAAGCAGCGTTCCCATACTGTAGTACTTATCCTGCATCTGGCTGCTGCTGACCTGTTGGTCCTCATCACCCTGCCTTTATGGATCTACTCCCTG